CCAAGAGGCAAGGGAGAATGTAAGTCCTTTTTCTATCTTCTCTACTATCCATGCCCATCCTCTTGAGGCATTTCCTTAAAAGCGCTTGGTGTTCTAATTGGCTACTCTTATTCCACCTTTGCTTTTTATGAAGACTCTACCATTTCCCTCCTATTCTGAGTGATTGCTTGCTTTTGTCTTTTGATATTGCTAAAACCAGCTAGTTTGACGTTGAGGAGTCGTTAATTTATTGATAGAATTGCTGGGTGGGTTGCTTCATAAGTGCTGTTTCCAAATCTTGTCAAGTCATTTTTGCTTTTACTTAAGGGTGGTTGTATATATAATTTATAAAGTCTTAACAAGATATGAGCGTTATTGTGTGGTCTGTCTCAGGCACCATCAGTGGTCTTCATTGATGAGTTGGATGCGGTTGGCAGAGAACGTGGTTTGATAAAGGGTTCGGGTGGACAAGAACGTGATGCGACTTTGAATCAGGTTTCCAGGGCATTTAGCACTTATGAGAAACTTTCACTTCATCTTGTTGAGATTTCAGGCTACATTGATTTGGTTCTCCTTTTTTCTCCAGCTTCTTGTGTGCTTGGATGGTTTTGAAGGCAAAGGTGAAGTCATCACTATTGCTTCTACAAATAGACCAGACATATTGGACCCAGCACTTGTTCGACCAGGGCGGTTTGATCGGAAGATATACATACCAAAACCTGGCCTTATTGGGCGAATTGAAATTCTTAAGGTGCATGTTACATATGTAATTGTCTGTTGAAAGGTTCCATTATTTTGGGGGTGTACCGCATCTTAAAGTGCTTTTCTTGGGGATATATAAATTATAACATCTTAGCAAGCTTATAATATGTTTTACTCCATGTTTTTCTTACATTGAATCTCCTTGGGTTAGGTGCACGCTCGTAAGAAGCCTATGGCTCCTGATTTGGACTATATGGCTGTTGCCAGTATGACTGATGGAATGGTTGGTGCAGAGTTGGCCAACATTGTTGAGGTTGCCGCTATTAATATGATGCGTGATGGAAGACCTGAGGTAATAGATTTAGGGCTTCAGAGTGAGTCAAATTTTCCTCTAACCTTGTTTTTTTGATAAGGTAAAAAAGAGAACCTTGTTAAGCAATATATGCCAATACTAGTTGTTGTTTACCATACAGATGGACTTTTTGACATAGTCTTTAAACAACATGAGATCTTCCTAAGCTGAGCTCTTATTTATTGCACGCAACATGGGAGAAACTTTTTCGTTATTGCTTTCAATATGATGCCCTTTTCAGCCGAAGAAGTGGGGATGGGTTGATGTTGGTTAATGAGCCTCGTGTTATTTTTCTAAATATCATCATAGAGACCAAAAATATTGTACGCTGGAATTTGTCTTCTAGATTTTATCATGACAAAGATGAAGTTCTGGTCACCATCCATCTCTAATGTCACTACTTTGCGAAGTATCTCCTCAACTAAAACAGGTGTCCAAACCTGTACTTCACTTCTCCATGGTGTGCTCTTCTGCTACCAGAGACAGTAAACTTTGTATAACCTTAGAGTTTGCACTTAGCAGATTACAACTGATGACTTGTTACAAGCTGCACAAATTGAAGAACGAGGAATGCTTGACCGGAAGGAGAGGAGCCCTGAAATGTGGAAGCAAGTTGCTATTAATGAAGCAGCGATGGCTGTCGTGGCAGTGAACTTCCCAGATCTTAGAAATATTGAGTTTGTAATGCTCTTACTCTCTTCTATATTGCTTTTTACTGTCTGCTTTTTTATTCATATCTTTTTTTGATAATTTACTCTCTGCTTTCTCATTATTGTTGTTATGGTATGATAATTGGGTGAAGTATCTTTACTGAGTTAGGCAATCATGTCTGTGCTTCTGCTTTGCTTTCGTCTTGGTTCACTCTTCAATAGTACCCAAATATGCATTTATTTTTCTAGATGCTTGCATCACATCTATGACAAAGGCTAAAGAACTGTTGTACTGCATGGATTTCTATCTTTGGCTAACTGCTTGGAAATACGAATTCTGGCATTTCTTCCTAATTATTCAGTGTTGGTGGAATATCATGTCATTATATTACCTTGTCAAGAATTAGCTCTAGTGTTATATTTAGGATAAGTAGAAGGAAGACGGAATACCTGCACGGCAAGTTTAGTCAACATGAGAAGAGCGAAGTTGAGGTGAGACTACATCTTGCACATAGTGGATACCTGTTTGAAAGTTGACGAAGTAGTTGCGCATGTTCAAATGTTAAAATTGATTATATTTGTTCCCTATACAATATGTATGGATATGAGCTTTACAGTTTAGATGATAACTAAAATCTCAATCTAAGTTAACCATGTTATAAAGAAAAGAAGCGATATCCGTATAGTAGAAAATTGACTTGTTTTGAACGAGCTTTGTTGCGGACCGACTGCTGGTATGGATGGCAAACAAAACTTGGGTCAGTTAGGAGAAAGAGTAATCAATGTTCGTCCTCCTTCCTGAATTTTGATTTTCTCATGCTTTTTCTTCTTTTATGCAGAAATTTCTGTCTAATTTAACCATGTATTAGACAAAGGAAGCTGTACCCATGTAATAGAATATTAGTTGCTAGCAAGGGGCTTTGAAGTGAACTGACTGCTGGTATAGATAAACTTGGGTCAGTTAGGAAATATTTGATGATAGAGCAATCAATGTTTCTCCTCCTTTCTGAATTCTGATTTCTCATGCTCTTTGTTTGACAAGATACGGAAAAGTAGAATCATGCTCGTTAATGCTAGAGCTGGAAGCTACAGCTTTCTCTTGTCTTTTTCTTCTTCCTCCAAAGTGCATTGAGTTCTTATTTTCATACCTATCAAAATAGCTGTTATCATCATCGTTATAATTGATGATTAATTGAGCCAATTGCTACTGTCTACAGTATGAACTTTCCTCAAAGTGCCTTTTATGACGGCTGTTTTTTGTAATGTTTCTTTTTGAGAAGGTCACTATTGCTCCAAGGGCTGGCAGGGAGCTTGGTTATGTGCGGATGAAAATGGATCATGTCAAATTTAAGGAAGGAATGCTGAGGCACGATTTCTATCCCCTTCATATTGCACTTATCTTTCTGATTTCTTCTCTCAAAACTTAAAATTGAAAATCAAATGCAACAAGATATGTATGTAATGGAACTAAGAAGTGAGTATTTCAAATCTCTAATCATGTATTGCCTTATGTGAAGTGAAGAAACATATCTGTAGACACCAAAGACATGAAGTATTTGTTTTTGAAATACCTCATTGTCTGTTGGTCTTGCTTCCCATGGCAATTTGGAAGAGGCGACTGCCTACTGCATTGGCGCGACTGCACCTCAGAAGTAGAAAATTCCTGAGTGTAGTCATCTTTAACTTTTAAAATTCATTTTAATGCAGCCGACAGTCACTCNTTCCAGTCTCTGCTTTTTGGTTGCACTTCTTTGGTATTGCATTCCATCTGTATTTTCCATATAGATGTGTTCTGCGTGACACCTGAATTCCAAAATACATTGTGCTTTTTAGGACATTGACTCAGAGGCACTACGGATCTTACATAAGTGCTATGGTCGTGCAAAAGAGGTATCAGTAGACTCATTCCCTGCCCCTCTGGTCTAAGTGGAAAAAGAAGAAGATAAAGTTAGTTAAGAAACTGCATGTTGCTCAGATTTTCATTAATGTAATCCTGAAATGCCTGTACAGATCCTTGAGCGAAACCGGAACCTTATGGATGCAGTTGTTGATATACTAGTTGAGAAAAAAAGTCTTCAAAAGGAGGAATTCTTTAATTTAGTTAAGCTACATGGATCCCTTCAACCAATGCCTCCCAGTGTAGTTGATCTCAGGTCAGCTAAACGCTTGGAGTTCCAGGATACTCTCACAAAACAGAAGGAAGTAGTCTCTCAGGGACGCAAATGAGCAAGGTATTTCAGATTGTGACGTGATCATATTATCAAACCATGAGCTACTTTGCTCTATTAGTTTTCTCCTGGAAACATGCTCCCTCTGTGGTTGGTACGGACGATGTTTTTTGGCTACTGGGGCTCGAGCAGCAGCAATTTCTCCTTCTAATTTGCAGGGTACAACTTCATTTTATCTATTTTTGTCTTGAAGATCCTATTGAAGTGGTACAGCTTACTGCTACCTCAGATTGGCTGGAGCAGAGAGTGCAAGTTTTCTGTGGGTGGATTTGTAAGTTTTCAAGCCCAAACAATAATCTGGGACCTGTGAAGCTGTAAATGTGTCCTGGAGGGGGTGAACTTGTTTTTGTTTTCCTTTTTCTCTTTCTCCCTTCCTTTTTTGGGGGGACTGGGTGTTCCCTTAGCTGGTTTTCCCTAATCAGTTTTGATATAGATTGCACAACAGAGAGGACATGTATCGGAATTATAAGTCGGATATAATATGTTTTCCTAATTGTTGCTTAATATTCTTACTAATATCAACTGTATAAGACTCTGGATAGCAGTATTCAAGTTCACAATCTATAAAATGTAATTCAAGCCTTGGTAGGCAAAGTTAACACGTACTTGTGCTTGTGGGAGGTAGCCGGTAGCTAGTGAAACAGTTGAGGTGCGCGCAAGTTGATTCAGATATTATTATTGTTTTGTTTTTTTTTCTTCAAAATTTGCTACCTAATCTTAACTGTGAAAATGCCAGAACAGTAGATTAATTTGGTCTCTCCTAAACTGTGAAGTCATTATTGCCTTTGAGCTAGGTATAGTAACTGTGCTTATTTGTGTTGGACTTGTGTACTTATCTATTTGGTGTTCCTTCGTGCTGTAAAGTGGCATCTTTTGTCATTCCAAGTAAATTTCCTACTCCACTTGCTAGATTGAAGAAACTGATTACAAAATATCAAGGGAAAATAAAATTCTCAGTATTACCGAGCGGAATTAGAGATTAATAAACTATAAAGAATGTTAAAGCAATATAGTCTGCATCAAAACTTTATGCTAAGCTATACAAATGGTACACAAGATTCAACATTCTAAATCAAAGGATTAAACCCACTATTCTTTGACAATGAGCTTGCACCTATTGTCACATGCCAAGAACATAAATAATATAGAGGAAACTACACGATTTGCCTATGAGGCACAAACTAATTACCCATTTTTGCCCATTTAGAAATTAATTACAATTTCTACCTATTCATCAAAATCTATTTTTGCCGGCCACCCATTCCTCTTTTTTGCTTGAATTTGTTTTCCTCAGCATACCAAACCGTGCATACTTCCTTTTAATTAAATCCATACCTTTTTCTTTGTGAAGAAGTGTGAAATCTAATTTTAATTACCTGTTACTGCCCATTCTAATTTGTCTTACAATGTGTACCTATACAATCTAAAGTATTTACCCAACTACCTTTTTTCAAAATCCTTTCCTTTTTAATCCCGGATCACGTGAAACCCCATTAATTGCCCCACCCTATTTTCTCTTTTATTGTCTTCTCAAATATAAATAAACGTTTTTCTTCTATCTTTTCATTTCATAATAGGGTCTACGTGTCCATTGAATATTTTTATTAATTTATTCTCTATTTCAAAATGGTATATAGTATATTATTATAACATATCTAAATGTTAGTATAATCGATGACGCACAAAATTGAGTTAATTAGATTATGTGACAACTGATATTATTTCAGTTTAATAATTAAATTTAAAAACTTTTTTTAAAACTCTTTGCTTACTACTGTATACCTTGTTGGTATATCTATATACTATATTGGTATCATATGTTAGTTGGAATCTTTTTTTGTTGTATTAGCTACATTTAATTGGTATACTGTTTGATTTTTCTTTAGTAATTGTAGAATAGTACATTATCTTGAATTTTTTAAATTTTCTTTTATGCATATGTATTATGTAATCATTTTTGATTTTTTCTTTATGCGTTTGTTTTATATATAGTATTATAGTATAATATCTTGAAATATATTATTATATTAATATGCGGTACACTATTTTTTAATTTTTCTCTTTATGCATGTGTATTATGTACTAGTAGTATAGTCATATATAGTTGCCTGAAATTAATTAGTAGAACTGTATACCCTATTGGTATAATTATATATCATATTGGTATCATATGGTAGTTGGAATATCTTTTGGTTGTTTTAGCTATATTTTTAAGTGAATTCTATTCTGAAATGATTTATATGTCATATTTTGCTGTGTTGGATCTTCTTGTACCTATGGACATAGATTTTGTATATTATGTAATACTCCCTCCGTTTCAATTTATGTGAACCCATTTGACTGGGCACAGAGTTTAAGAAAAGAGAAGACTTTTAAACTTGTGGTGTAAAATGAGGCACATATATATTTTGTGTGGCTATAAATCATTGCATATAGGTAAATTATTTCCAAATAAGGAAAGAGGTCATTCTTTTTGGCACGGACTAAAAAAAAAAAATAAGTTCACATAAATTGAAACGGAGGGAGTAGTTTTTATAGTTATATACAGTTGTTGGAACGACCCCATACAACTATATACCCTATTAGTATAACTATATACTATATTGGTATCATATGTTAGTTGAATCCTTTTTTGGTTGTATTAGCTGCATTTAATTGGTACACTATTTGATTTTTTTTAATAATAGTAATATAGTACAATATCTTAAAATACTTTATTATATTAATATGTGGTACACTTTTTTTTTTTCTCTTTATGCATGTATGTTATGTAATAATAGTATAGTCATATAGTTGCCGGAAATTAACCAGTAAAATTGTATATCATGTTGGTATAGTTATATGCCATATTGGTATCGTATGGTAGTTTGAAATTTATTTTGGTTGTTTTAGCTGCATTTTTAAGTGAATTCTATTATGGAATTATTTATATGAACATGATTTGTAGTGCTGGAATTTTTTTATGCCGATGTACATAGATTATTTGTATTATGTAATAGTTTTTATAGTTATAAGCAATTGTTGGAATTACCCCATACATCTATATATCCAGTTAGTATACGGGATGAGCAAGTTGCTTTGAGAATATTTAGCTTACAATGCGAGCATGTAATTTCTCATACTTTTATCGCATCCTTTAATGTTTTGGTACAGTAGTATAGTCGCAGATAGTTGTAGCAATATTCTAGAGCAATCATATACTCTGTTGGTATACATGTATATCATATTGGTATCATATGGTACTAGAAGTCTTTTTTGCTACTTATACTTTTATTGTATTTTCCAATATTTTATTATCATTTCTATTCTAACTAGTATATATGGAGATTTGGCGGCCGTAGATTATATTTTGCCCCTTAACTGTTTATGTTATGGTAGAGTGTGTACTGATATTTGTAGGGAAGGAGATCACGGTTTGCATGGCAATCACGTGAAATTAGAAAAGGAACAAGAAATAAAGAAAAAAATAAAAAAGAAAAAAAATAAAGAAGTAGTCAAATTTGAGTGTGAAGTAAGTTATGGTAAAAATATAAATAATACGATTTGGGCAAAAATAAATGAATAAAAGAGAAAAAAGAAAAAAATAAGAAGAAAACGAGAAAAAAGCAAAGGAGAAAAGAAAGAAAAAAAAGAAAAGAAGCATAGAAATAAAAAAGAATAAGAGAAAAAAGAAAAAACTCCCCACAAAAACTAATATGGGTAGGAAATATAATTAGTTTGATGAATAGAAAAATAAATTGATAGATAAGGATAAATAATTTTATTTTTATAGGTTACTGTGTATGTTCGAACTCATGTTGGAACTTGAGAAATGAGTGTGACTACTTGAAATATTTGTACTATTCTGAGACGTGTAAAAATAGGATAAAGGAAAGGGGGAAAGTGCATTTTGAGTTTACGTAATGAGGATAGTTCAAGCCAGAAAATATTTTTACGAAGGTAGGGAGATGAAGACGTGAATTTCAGTTTCAGTAATTTCACACATCTTTGCAAGAAGAAAACGTGTGCTAACCACTATCTCCTAAGCTGAACGTTTGGAATATTATTAAGCATCTCGAGTCTTGATTCTTGGAAAATAAAAACAAAAGCAATGCTTCTATTCTTTAGTCAATTCAACGTCGATACTAAATGCTACGTACTACTATTGATTAGACCGCTGACAGATCATAATGCTACGAGTTTGACCAATTTTACACTACCTCAATTCATAAGATTTACTCACTTGGGTTCTATATGTACGTGTGACTTTAATATATGTTCCACTAATTAATAAGCAGTACGGTTAAGTCTGGAGAAAACAATTTCTTATTTTATTGTATAACGTAAAAAAATGGAAACAAATTCAATTAATATTGATTAATACTTACAATAGGAGGTAGTAGAATAATATCAGTCAATTAAGGCTCATTTCCCAGGCAATATTTTCAGTTAGTTCACGAGGAAACTTTTGATTATGACATGTTGCGTGGAATCTTAGATGTACATCTAACTCCAAGTTCTTTTGTTCTTGTTTTCCTAATCTCTTCAAAAGAGACATAATTTGTTACTATTTAACACGTAAAAATCTATAATTTGCCTACAGCAGACAGGAAGATAATTATTGGACCAAATATATTTCATTTTCAACATTTGCAATGCTGACAATCTTGTCGTTATCAATTAATTACTAGTAGCTTAGACATGGATGATATATAAATGTAGAAAAAATGATCTAATCTCGAAAGCATGGAGATCTCACGACAATCATTCTTCTGGATTTGTTGAGTGATGTAAAGTTTACTAGCTAAATAATTTTAAATCAAGAAATAAGTATAATCCACATGTCCGTACATCATGACTCTTCTTGGTTGAAACGTGTCATGGGTTGCAAAATTAGCTCATAAAAATACGATCCGTACTAATTGCCACATCAATATACGACCCATCCAAATCGCCCAAAATTAGTTATGTTGGTCTAGGTATATTTTCATTGATTTGAGCTAAATATATAACCCGAATTGACCCATAAAGAAATTGGTTAAAATATTTTTAAATTTTTTACTGCCAGAATGATTTTTTTCTAATATATAATGCCACAATGATTTTTTTTTGGGTAATTAGACAAATTATAAGAAAATAAATAAAGAAGTAAAAGAGTTGTGCAAGTTGGCTAATGATCTATTGTTTAACTTATTTTGATCCCGCTCATATCAATATATATAATTTTGTCTCATTTTAACCCGTTTAAATTCAGTTCAATCCGCCAATTCATTACCCTCAGTTGTCATGCCATAAAGATAGTCTTATCTGGCACTTGGCTGGCTCATGAAAAAAGAAAATATCTAGAAATTAAAAATAAAAATAAAAAACTGAAAGACAATTGGCGTATGTTTGGCCTTATTGTTTGATAATGTAAGGTCCATTGGAGCAATATGCAATTAGGTGGTTGAGATAATTAACTACCCTAGACTGACCAATATATATGGCAGATGGCATCTTCCTGTAAATTTATAACCCAAGCTTAAAATGATGAAATTGAATTGTCATTTTCAAAACAACTTTTGATAATTCTTCACTGTCCCCTTAAATATTGATGAATCTTTCAGTGGCACTCTACCATTAGTTT